TTGAGTGCCAGTCCATCTATACATGTCTACAAACGTGAAAGACAAGATTGCCAACTGACCTAGGAGTGGAGCAATGGCCACTGCTGTGAAAGCAAGGGAAAGACAAAATTACGTCTAGTGGTTAGTGAGGAAAGGGTGGATGGAAATGTTTCTTTGGTGATTATAAAAAACTATCTCTCTTTTGGTAATTATGAAAAATGACTATTGTAAGGAAAGTAACAAAGAAAGATCCTTATCTTTAGGGCAATGCTTAAAAAAGCTTGGAGTCTGAGTCACGGGGAACGATCACTTGTTTGATGAGCTTGTTTTCCTCTAAACCCTTTATTTCCAGTCACAGAATTAAAGGTAATAAAGAAATCAAATTATATAAGAATATTTACCTGTAATAATCTTTCAAGAGTGTTGCATGCTTCAAGATTGAAAGAAAGTTTCAGGATTCATAAATGAAATGTGAAAGCCAAATGGAACAATTGAAGAGGAAAAGAATACAAGAAAAAAATAAAATGAGTCCCAAGAGGAACCAAATCATCTGTTCTATGCAATTGACAAATGAGAATGGAGATGGAGATTTCTGAAAGAGTTCAGCAAACTTATATATTGCTGCAGTAAGTTCTGTATATTGAGTCTTAGTCACTACTTTTGTAAACTTTTTTTCTATTCCCTTAAAATCAACTCCCTCATCCCACCCCAGTCCTTTCAGTTGTATTGATAACTGTTGATACCAAGCATTACTATATGATAAAATAAAGAATATACAATTTAAGTCAGTTATAATTTATGTCTAAGCCTACTCAACTTTCAAAGAGAAATGATAGATCCTGAGAACTGTGTTTATATTTCCATTCCGAGTCGGAGTCCAATCATGCTGAGAATTGTCTTACAAATATCATATAAGTGTGTTTTGTTGTTGTTGTTATTTTTGTTGGAAATACCTGGAGGATTTAAAAAATGTCACTCTAGGCATGTTTATTCTCAAAACATCAGTTTCTTATGTGTCAAATAAGTGAGTATAAGAAGATGAGCATTTAAAATCCTATCCAGCTCTAATATCCTAGGATTATGTTAAGAACACTACAACATCACTATCTTTCTTTCACTCACCTTCTTACTACACGTTTTCAGCATGAGTTTATTTTTCACTGGAATGATAAATTTTGACAGTTAAAGTTTAAAAAATTTACCCATTGCGACGTTTTCTGTAATACATTTGGACAGTTCTTGCTGTTGTTCCTCAGAATAATTCAAGACCTTTTATATTTTGCTTTTTTTCTTTTGAGATTAGCCTTCCAAACTCACCTCAGATCCCAAGAACACACACACTAACATTCAAATCCCAGTGAGAAATGATATGTGAGCAATTAAGCAGTTCTACTGAGGAATTGATTAAACAAAAAATGAAATGATGCAATGTATTTTTCTATATCCTGAGAATGTCTCAGAAAGTATATTTTGGCTTTAAAATAGTAGGTTATTATATGTAATGTTAGATTTTGATATTTTCTATCTAATTTGACTTAACTAGCTAAAAGCAACTTGTCAAACAACTATCAGAATGTTCTGTGTGGTAGGATGGTGGAATTAACTGGAAAGAAGAAAAAATGTATCTGTCTAGCTATTGAGAATTGGATGATCTTGAAAGTAAACATGTAAATGGATGAATGAAGTTAATGACTCTGATATGTGCTATATATGTATTTATGTTCAAAAGGAATTCGGCCATCCAAGGCCAGAATAGATCAGAGAATCTTCAGTCAATAAATATATTTGCTCTTGAATATATTTTGCCAGGAAGTGTTCTAGGTACGAAACAGAGAAAAGGTGGACAATCTGAACTCATGATAAAGAATTTTGTCAATTATAGAATAGTGAATGAGACACAGTGAAGGAAACAGTACTAGCAATTCTATGGAGATTTGAAGTCCATGGCATGATTTGAGACTTGGAAATAAGATTTATAGACAATGTGTTGCCTAACGAAAAAAGATAATACTGAAATAATATATATATATATATATATATATGTATGTGTGTGTATGTGTGTGTATATATATATCTTGGCAAAAAGAACTATGAGCAGTTTTGACCTTCTATCTCTGCCCAAAGGATTAATCTCAGCAGAAAGAAACTCTTCTTTTCCAGTAATTCCAGCAAAATTGCACAGTTAAGTCACCAGCTTACTAGGTCCACCCAGAAACCAATCACCGGGTCTCTTGATTACTGGCCATGACCACTTCCCCAAATCCCATTAGGTGCAAAGACAGAGACCTACCAAGAATAAGCAAGGCTGGCTCCCCACCAGAAAATCGAGATGCTATTAGTAAGAGAATCAGAAATACATATCGACTCCGATAGTTAAAAAGTAAGGAAGTGACCAGATTAAATATGTAAAACAAAACCACTTAAAGAAATACAAAAGAAACTTTTATATGGTTGCTTTTCAGACATGTTTGAGGAGCGCTCAGTGCACCTCAATTATTCCCACACGACCAGGGGTGTTATCAATGAACTAACATTGGGAGTAAAAGAGAAATGTAACATTTCAAGTTTTTGTGAAGCTGAATGTAAAGCAGATGTCCTTTTCGCTAATAAACAGAAACAATCAGTCTTTAGATATGAAAAATATGTCCTTATCTTAGGATATGGAGACTAACAGTTATCCATGCTAAATTGAGAATAATTCTGTTCCCCTGAAGCCCTAACATTCAGGGTCTCTGAAAGAGAAAATACAGATTCTGGAGACAGACCAAATTAGTAACTAAATGGGAGCTCCTGGGTAGCTGGAAAGGCTTCTTAAATACAGGAAATTTTAATATTGAAGGTTCCTCAAGAGACTAGAGCTCTATTATATTCATCCTTTCTAGTTCAATCACTCCCATTTCCAGCGATTTTGCTCTCTATGGGAGATTTGACAAGGTGTGGAGACATTTCTGATTGTCACAAATGTGGGGAGGAGTGGTCCTGACATCTAATGAGTTGAGGTCAAGGATGCTGCTAAGCATACCATAGTACACAAGACAGACAGCCACAGCAAAGAACTGTCTAGCTCAAGATGTCAACAGTGGTAATGTTGACAAATTCTGTTCTAATTGGAGGACCAAAGGTGAAAGATATTTCTCTTACCTTCATCTAAAAATGCAAAGACTCATGGGTCATATGTGAAATCTCACTCTATTTAAAAGATTTGAAAAACAGTACAGAGTTGTATTTTCATCATAAACCCAATATAACTTCATTCTTTTAGTCATTACTTATTCATTTATTTAAGGAAATAACGAATAGCTGTCTTCACCAGGGATACAAGAATATTTCCAAATGATGCTTACCCTCAAAGATTTCTTTCAAAGAATCATTAATAAGAGTGAAATTTATGGGACAGATCCTTGCAGTTTTATTATTATGTTTAAGTCCCACAAAAACTCTCTGAGGCTGGCAGGTTATCTCCAGTTTATATTTGAGGGAATTTAGGTTAAGTAAGTTTAAGTGTCTTTCTCAAAATCACTCATCTGGATCTGAATCTGGACCCAGGTGTTTAATCTCAAGTCAGGTGTTCTTCCTACTTTACTGAAGCAACAAGGACCTATTTTACCTTTAGATAAGTGATTCCAGTAAAAATATAGACGATAAATACAAAAGGAGAGCTTAAGAAAGTAAGAAAACAAATTGTTAACATTGTAGGACTGTAGGAAAGGCGAATTATGAATTGGCCTTTGACTGATAGGTGTCTTGAGCTTGAAAGTGTACCCTTATATATACAAGGTTCTAATCCTTGGAACCTGTAAATGTTGTATTATTTGGAGAAAGGTTGCTTGTACATGTGATTAGGTTAAGAAACTTGAGATAAGGAGATTAACCTGGATTATCTGGTTGTGCTCTGAAGGCCACCACAAGTGACCTTATAAGAGAGAACAGAATATTATTTTCTACACACACAGACACAAGAAAACATAGGAGGGAGAAGAGAGAGATTTAAAGGCAGTAGCCATGAAGGAAAACTGAAGTAATATGACCACAAATCAAGAAGTGCCTGCAGCCCAACAGCCAGAAGAAATATGGAAAGGTTTATCCCCTAGAACCTCCAGCTAACACCTTGATTTGGGACCAGTGATATTGATTTCAAATTTCTGACCTCCAGAACTTTAAGAGAATAAGTCTATTGTTTTAAGCCACCAAATTTGTAGTAATTTTTTTCAGAAGCCTTGGGAAACTAATGCAATTGGCTTAAAATATAATAAATGTATAAAGTGTAGTAAATGCTTAAAATAATATCAGGCAGAGCAAAATAGTTAACAAGGACATGGACACCTAAAAAAGATATGATGTCAAGCATACTTTAATCAAGACTTAAGGTGAAACAAAGAACAAAAGATAAAAGTAAAAACAATGGCAGTAACAGCAGATATACCATATTTAGTGCTAAGAATTTAAGATGTATCATTTAATTTTCATGAAAGTTTTATTAGAAAAGTGGAGTATTATCATTTTAAAAGTTCTAAAATTATTACCTTTCAATCTAAAAATTAATAAAAGAGAAAATAACCAAAAACTTAGAAATAATGCCCAGAAATATAGATAAAGTCATAGGAAATTTACTACAAATTCTCATGAAAAATCAGTGAATATGAGGCAAATGTATACTCATTCTACGTTAAAAAAAAAAGATGAAGTCAATTTAATAAGAAAGGTTTCATGCATTAAGGGCAATGCAAAAATATAAAAGCACTTTGTTAAAATTATATTTATGTTACCTCAAACAAAGAAATTGAGTCTAACAATATCACCCCAAAAACCCGTTCAAGGCAATTAGGGATGGGAGAAGTGTAGCAAGGGTAGCAGATGCACTTGAACTCTCCAATAAAAGGGTTTAATAAGATAGGCAACTGGGAAACAAAAAAGAATGCATTGTCCTCTAGCTCAAAAAATACTTTCCTATTTTACTTTTCATTCACATCCACCCAAAACAAGACCCTCAATAAAGGTATTTAATGAAACCCTGAGTCTAGCTAAGAAAATAGCTTTTCAAAAGGCAATTTGGATCCCAACACTTTCTTGACAGCTTCCTTCACATCCTTGTTCCTCAGGCTGTAGATCAGGGGATTCAGCATGGGAATCACTACAGTGTAAAATACCGTGGCTGCTTTGTCAGTATCCATACTGTTGCCAGAACTGGGCCGGCAATAAATGAAAAGGATTGTTCCATGGAAGACAACAATGGCTGCGAGGTGGGAGGCACAGGTGGAAAAGGCTTTACACCTTCCCTCTGCAGAGTGCATCTTCAGGACGGTGATGAGAATAAACAAGTAGGAGGTGAAGATGATCATAATGGTAAAGATCTCATTGAAAGTGGTCACAATAAACACCACGAGTTCATTAATAGAGATGTCATAGCAAGCAAGTGTTAAAAGAGGGGGCAAATCACAAAAGAAATGGTCAACTACATTTGACCTATAGGATGGGATTTCGAGAGCTAAACACAAATGAACCAGAGAACACACAATTCCATAGAGATAACAGCCGGAAACTAGAAACATACAAAACTTCTGGGACGTGGTAATCGTGTACAACAGAGGGTTACAGATGGCCAAGAAGCGGTCATAAGCCATGACAGCGAGCAGGAAGACCTCAGTGACTGCACACATACAGAAGAAGTAGAACTGCACCATGCATCCCAGGAAGGAGATTACTTTTTCCTTGTTTAAGATATTGGACAGCATCTTTGGCATGATGACTGTGGAGTAGCAAAAATCCACAAAGGACAAGTGGCTGAGGAAAAAGTACATGGGGGTGTGAAGTTGAGAGCTGAACCGAATCAGTGCAATCATGCCCACATTGGCCAAAACTGTGACTCCATATATGAGAAGGAACAGAAGGAAGAGAAAGGCTCTCAGCTCAGGGGCATCTGATAATCCAAGAAGAACAAACTCTGTCACAGTGGTACAGTTCTCTTCACTCATTTCCACCTTATGTCAGGATTGGGAAACCAAATGACAAGTTCTTCTATCTTCTCAAAACAGAATAAGAGATATAACAGCACATTTATTTTAACTTCAGTAACATACAACATTGATATCAAACATAGTGTATTTGAAACACAAATGTCAAATAATTCAAAATGTTCACTGTCTCAGTGGACCCCATAGATAAAAATTAAGTATCAGCAGAAACCTATAAGGCTCTCAACTGTTACCTACCAGAATAAATTGAGTTTGATGGAGTTTTAAACAGATTCAATGGTATACTCTAAAGCCTCATGGAGATCAACTCCTGTTTCCTGAAAAATTTAAGTTCTGTCCAAGTAGGGTAACAGTTATTGTGATCCTATATAATGTACACTATTTTTTTTTACTGTTGTCTATCAGTAACAAGAATTTGCAGCAGGTGAAGAGATCCTGTGCACTTCTCTTGTTGGAGAGTGGGACAAACCATTTGAGATTGGTGGCTCACAAAGAATCTTCAAATTTGGAATTCTGCAGAATGAAAAAAATAGAATTAAATATATACTAAAAACCATCATCAATTTTACTTATCAAAATCAAGTTAGTGAATTATAATGATAGTGATCAATTTCAATAATGACTCAGAAAGATGTCACCCTTGTATGTACTTTTCTGGAAAGTAGTTAGGCAATGTTTATCTAAACTCTCAACCCTGACAACAGTAAAAGCTATATGATATTTTTATGAGAGATTTTATTCTTAATAAGCTGTTCTAAGAAATATTTAATTACGTTGATAAAATTGTGAGAAACAGTGTTCAAAGCTACATTGCAGCCTTGTTTATAATATTAATAAAGGAAAAGATTAATTTTCAAAAATAGAGCGATTTTTAAAACTTTGGTGCATCATATCTAGGGTAGAAAATTTTCATGCTATTTGAAATTATGATTTGGAGATAATTAATTTTTTAAAGGATCCTGAATAGTTCACTTGGTTGGGGGAGGTCGTTACATTGTGTATTCAATATAAGTGGGATCTGTCATTCAGGCCTGTCCTTAAAAAAAAGGCAAACAGAAACTGACAAATTTTATTCACTGCTCTCCTTCCTAGACAGCAGGAGGAATATACCCATGTCTTCATATACAGACGCACAACAAAACTCGATGAAGAGATTCTGGACTGGAAACAAAACATGATATTTTCTCCATATCTTGAATTAATTTTAAAGTAGAAACCTCACTTTCCTGAATTCATAGCTTTTTCATTATCTGACCAAAAAGAAGCAGAGTTATTTGCATACTTCAGAGTTAAAACAGGAAAAACAGGTTGGAAAAGTTTATTTCTAGTGTTCCACGCTGATAACAAGAAACTAGGTTATGGTAAACCCAGGCAAATCCAAAATAATTCACCTCATGTACAGAGTAGAGAGAGTTCACATGTCCTGGTTCTCCATGACCAGCTCCGAGGCATTAATTCAACTCTCAGAATTAGCATGACAATCAGGGAGCTCATCCACAGTCATAAATTCTAGATTTCATGATAGAAATTGGTATAGAGAATGGTAGAAAGAGAAGGAGAGAGACAAACACACTATAGTTTTTAACTCTATTTCATGCTCACTAACGTTTAATGTTACAGAGGAAATTGTTCTAATTTCACCATCAACTGTTTCTCAGTACTAAAAGACAAAAGCATTTTAAAGATTTTATTTTTCCTTTTTCTCTCAAAGACCCCCGGTACATAGTTGTGTATCTTTAGTTGGGGGTCCCTCTACTTGTGGCATGTGGGACGCTGCTTCAGCATGGCCAGATGAACAGTGCCATGTCCTCGCCGAGATTTCAAACCTATGAAACCCTGGGCCGCTGCATCACATGGCGCGAATTTTACCACTTAGACATGGGGCTGACCCCGATAAAAGCATTTTAAATAATAAGTGCCTAGAAATATGGGTTCTGTTAAAACTTACTCTAATTAGAAGACAGATGAGGTAGACATATCTTTAAAATAAATGTTTGCTTGGAGAATATATTCATTTTCATTTTCATGCAACCAGGGCCTGGTTCTAGCTAACATACCTGAGAGAGGCATTTCCATCCTGCTGCTGAAGATGTTAGGATGTGTATAGTATATAGTTAGAGATTTATACTGTAATTTAAGCTCTTGGGTAATGGGTCCCTCATGTTCAAAGTTAATTATTAATCTCTATGGTATAAAAATAAATTAAAATTAATACTCCATTTGATATAAAACAGAGATAATCTCTATGGAATATCATCAGGAAATTTTTTTAAATATCTTTTATTGTGAAATAATTTTTTTAAATGAAACATTCCTTCTCCCAGATTTCACAGCACATTGTGATATTACATCATGCTGTCATATGTGTGGGTCACATCTCATACTGCAATTCTGAAATATCACGAACATTTCTTATGAATTCTTTTTTATAATGCTACAAAATCTCCTAAATTCCTGTAGGTCACAGTAACTAAAACCACACCAAATTCTTTCAAATACTAGGAAGGAAATAAACGTACTTGTCAGAAAACAATATAATAGTTTACACTTACTGGACAGATGTTATGTGTTACAATCTTTCTAAATATTATGCAAGTATTAACTTAACTTTCATAATAACCAGCAAAGAAAAGAATTCTGTTTTCACGCCTGTCTTACAAAGGAAATGATGGAGGCACAGACGCTGAGTTCTAACTGGGACAAAGTCAAATTGCAGGAAAGGGCCCTGTGCTGCTGTGGGGTTTTTCCTACATGTATGACTGAATGGGGAAAAGAATAGACCCAGAGCCACTTCTTAGCCTGCGTTTTCTCTAATGCATGTTCAATGCTGGAAGCCGTCAAACAGGATCATCTCAATTATCTCTTCCAGGTGTGTTCTTCGGACTGTATAATGTCAGTGTAGGCCACAGTGCTCTCCTTGTCTCTCTGTATCACTGGGTATACACAAAGACTTTCCAAGGAGTACTTGTTTAAAAGACTTTTTCAAGTAAATCAATGTTTATATTCTCAACTACCATATATCTTCCTAAAATTGATGTGCCCAAGACAGCAGTCAAGGCTGAAGATACTTTCTGTTTCACCATAACTACATCATCTTTCATAATTAACAAGAGAAAAGAAAAGCATTCACCAACTCATATTTGATGCATTATCCCCCTGAGTAGAAGCCTGTGGGTCAAAAAAAAAGGAATAACTTGGAATGTTGTTGTTCTTCAGGCTGTCTTTGATTTTTTTAAAAGATTTTATTTTTCCTTTTTCTCCCAAAGCCCCAGGCACATAGTTGTGTACTTTTAGTTGTGAGTCCTTCTAGTTGTGGCATGTGGAATGCCGCCTCAGCATGGCTTGATGAGTGGCGCAATGTCCACGCCCAGGATTCAAACCAGCAAAACCATGGGCCACCAAAGCAGAGCACGCAAACCCAACCACTCAGCAACTGGGCCGGCCACTGATTTTTTATTCCTCACCCAGGGCACATTAAACTCATAAATTATCCTTCTACCTCTTTCTATCTCATAATATTTCTTAGATCGTATCTTCTTTGGAGAAACGTGTATTCAAATATTTTACCAATTTTAATATGTGCATTTGACTTTCTGTACTCTAGTTGCAAATGTTCTTTATATATTAATGATATAAAACTTTCCTCAGATATACAGCATCATCTTTGCTCTTAAATTTAGGTCTGCGATCCATTTTGAGTTAATGTCTGTGTATGGTGTGAAGTATTGGTTTCAGTTCATCATTTTTGCTTATGAATCGTAAAGCACTCGACAATTTATTGAATATTTTATCCCTCCCCAATAAATAGCCTTGGTAGCTTTGTCAAAGATCAATCACCTGTTAATGTGTTTATTTTCAATCATCAATTCTATTACATTGGTATATATGTCTGCCTTACACCAGTGCTAGTTACTATGTTTTGTAGTTTTCAGTATTAAGTGCTGCCCTTCTTTCATTAAATTCATTGCTAATTATATTTATCTTATTGGAAATCACATTATTCTCCTAATTTCACATTCAGATATTATTTTGCTGTTATATAGAACTAAAATTGTTTTTGCATATTGATCTTGTATCATGACTATGGTGAACTCAATTATTCTAGTGTTTTTCTGGTGTGTTATGTGACATGCTTAGATTTTCTACTTGAAAGATCATGTAGTTTGTGAATAAAATTATTTTACTTCAAAATCAGGGTGACTGACTGACTGATTGATTTATTAATCTAACCATCTATGTATCTATGTATCTATCTATGTATCCATCCATCTATCTATCTATCCATCATCATCGTGAGTACTGAGAGGGGACATCCTGAGTTGTTTTTTACTTTAGGGGGAAATCGCTCACTACAAAACCATTAAGTGTGATGTTACAAGCAATTTTGGTAGGTCGAAGTAATTTCCTGTATTTCTACTTTGTTGGGAGTTTTTATCTTAAACAGTGGTGGATTGTATTACGTACCTTTTCTGCGTTTTTTGAGATGGCGATATGGTTTTCATCTTTAATTCTATATGTGATACGTTACATTAATTGCTTTTCATATGTTAAGTTCACCTTGCATTTCTGGGCTAGCTCTCACTTGGTCGTGATTTATTATCCTTCTATGTGTATTATAGGATTTATTTTGCTAATTCTTTCCTGAGAATTTTTCTATCTACAACCATGTGGGCTATCAGGTAGTGTTTTCTTCCTCATGTTTCTTTTTTGACTTTGTTATCAGGATAATACTGTCTTAACAACATGAATTGGAAAGAGAGTCTCCTCTTCTATTTTCAACATAATTACTGAACAATGAACAATTGGTAATTTTATAGAGATATTAAGTAAAATTAACCAGTCAAACCATCTATATCTACATATTGGTAATAAAGGAGAATATTTTAATTACAAATTTCATTGATTATGTTGTTATATGTCTATCCAGATTTTCTATTTTTTTCTTTTGTCAGCTTTTGTAATTTTATCTTTTTAGGAATTTGTCCATATAGTCTAAGTTG